AGCGAGTTAATGCCACTTTAATCAGTCTGGGTTTGAAGGTAGCTGCCTATATAGACAGTAGCTTGAATGCGTATATTGAAAATGTATGTATGCTTATGGCACTGGTTCATTCAGTTCTTTGAAAGTAAAAAAAAAGGTTTTATTTATTTCATAAACATTGTATGAAAGATGAATCCAAAATTTAACACAACTAATCTCTCTGTTATGTGCGCTGGGTGAGTCTTATTTTGAAAGGGTGCAGATCTCCTTTGATTAAACACTTTTTATTTTTTTGCTAATATGATAATTATGCAAACTCATAAACATAAGAAAAATGCATGATAATCATTCTACATTACATTCTTGTAATATAGTAATGTATAAATGTATTATACATTACTATATTACTTTATTATTTGTATTTATGCATTTTTTAACCATATCAGTCACTCACCCTCATGTCGTTCTGAATCTGTATGACTTGCTGTCTTCTGTGGAACACAAAAGAAGATCTTCTTAAGAATGTTAGTAAACAAAAACTTCTGATTACCAAAAAAAAATTTTAAAAAACATTTCTCAAAATATCTTCTTTTGTGTTCCACTGAAGAGAAGTCATACAGGTTTGGAAATGTGAATAAAATAATGACAATTTAATTTTTAGATGAAATAATGTGACTCAATTAATGTGACTCAAACATCATTAACTCAAATGAAAATAATATATGCTTACTGTTTATTAGATGCAGTCATAATTAGTCATCTTTCTTGACCTGATGTTTGAATGCGTGTATGCCTTTAGGTAATAGCTGATTTAGAAGAAGAGAAACGACGGCATGCTCAAGACAATGCTGCGGGTGATGACATCACTGCCATGCTGGAGAAGGAACGAGACAGACTACTGCAACAGGTAACCAGGCAACGCAACCAAAACATATATACACATGCACAAACTGCACTATTATAAATACAAGTGAAACTGCAAAATAAAAGCAATCACAGCACCCTGTGCCAGCGGATTTTGTGTGGCTTTGTTGTGTAACAGTGTTGGCGCAGATCTCTTTTCTGCAGAGGAAAGGCTCTATTGTGTTTATGGACTGTTGTGCGTGAGAGTCCATCCGCCTCTGTGTGTGTGTGTATGTGTGTGTATTAAGACATTCCACTGTGTGTTTGCGTTTTTATAGGATTAGGATAAGGTGATATTAAGGTCAAAGTACAAACTCCAGTATTATGTACAAGGCCCTTCCTGTCCTGCCCTGGGTTTCCCTTGCACACACATACACACTCATTTTTTTCCTGGATGCTTGACCATGACTCTCACACATTCTGCAGCTCATAGGGTCCTGAAGTCTTAAATATATTCATAAGTTATGTTTCAGGCAGGAAGATGCAAGTAAACAAGATATTTTCAAGAACAATTGTAGAATTCATCTTCGATGTTGTCTGAAGTCTTATGTCTATATAATGCGTTTAATTTTTAAAGTGACGTCTCTTGCTTTTCTTCTTCACAGCTGGAGTTTGAGAGGGCTCAAGTCGAACGTTTAGAACGTGAGCAGTCAGTCCTGTCGAATCAAGCTGAGGAGGATTTAGCGCAGCAGCAGCAGTTATCCTCAACCCTGGCGAAAGAATGTCAGAAGGCTACAGCACGGGCAGAGGAGGAGAGCCAGCGGGTTGCAGAGCTCAGCCGCCTGCTGGAACAGGAGGGCAGTACTATCAAAACCCTAAAGGGGGAGCTGGAGAGCGAACGCGCTCATGCTCAGCAGATAGAGGCGAGATGTGAGAGAAAGCTAGCTGAATTGGATACAGAGCGCGAGCAGATGAGAGGGAAACTACAGAAGGAAGAAAAACAATATCAGGAGCTTTTAGAGAAGTTCAATAGTCTAAAGAAAGAGTTGGATGAAATGAAAGAAAGAGAAAAGGCAGGGCTGGAAGAGGACAATGAAGAAAAGGTAAAAACTCCACAGAAAGCAACCACAGGTGTCATGCCTCCTCTTAGTCAAACAGAAGTCGATGGCAAAACCATTGCATCTAAATCATCTCCACAACACAAGCTAAATGGTCACCATACTCTCAGAGAACCAGAGTCTCCAGCAGACAAGAGGTGCAAGGAAGAGGGATCGGTGGACAATGGGGTAGTGCTCCCTGGAGGAAGTGGAGCCTTGCAGTGTCTCTCCCCCAGCAGTCCTGCCTCGTCCTCCCTTAGCTCATCTCCTTGCTCTTCCCCAGTACTGACCAAGCGCCTGGCCTCTCTAGGCTGCTCTAGTCCGACCTATTCATCCTCTTACCAATCCAGCATCAACCAGCGATTCCAAGCAGCACGCCACAAGTTTCAGCAACAAGCTGAGGCAGACCACAAACACGAAGTATCCATTGTCCACTCGCCTCGAGACCTCTCTCCTACTGCGACTGCTCCTACTACTCCAGACAATTCTACTGCAAAGCAGATTGCCCGCAACACTGTCACTCAGGTGCTGTCACGGTTCACGAGCCAACAAGTGGCAAGTAAACTCCCTCCGTCCAACAGCTCGCCCTTTGGCACTGATTACCGCAACCTGGCTGCAGCCTCCTCACCGACAGGGAAGAGCCCAGGGGTTCTTTCACCAGGGATCTGCTCACCAATAATTCCTAGGGCGGAGAAGATTCATCCACCCCCTGTTGCTTCCAAAAAGCAGGAGGTCAACCAGTCTCCTGGCTCACCGGTTCCTTCTGGCAGGGCCAGCCACTTCCCCGAGCTCTCTGGGAGCTGTGGTCTAGAGTTTGACTTGGTCGTGTCATCATCTACTTAACCAGCCTAGAGTCCACAGCCTGTCCATAGCCTTCTCCACTCCATTCCCTCCAGTGGCATCTAAAGCACTCTCTTGAGAACCTCAAGGTTTCCTTCTTTTGTTATTTTCACCCTTATTGTCATGTCATAGTTGTCAGTTCTGGTCCTTAAGAGGTAGTTCACCAAAAAATGAAAATTCTGTCATGATTTACTCACCCACATGCCCTTATGACATTTTTTGGATCTTTTTGCTTTCCTGAACTTTCAGTGGAGAGACAGAAACCTCTCATTGAAAAATATCTTAATTTGTGTTTTGATGATTAATCAAAGTCTTACAGGTTTGGAACAGCATGAGGGTGAGAATGCAGACAGAATTTTCATTTTTGGGGGAACAGTCATTTTAAGTACCTCATTTGGGATGTGTCCATATCTGAAACTGTTCAGGTCTTGGAACCTCTACAAATGAGTTAATGTGTTAAAGAAAGACATCCAGAATGTGCAATGATGTGATACTCCAGGACTGAAAACCACTGGTCTGAAAGGGTAGCCACCCCTACTCTTCGAGTGTTACCTTTCTGCAGAATTTTGCTCAAACTTTAATCAAACACACCTGAGCCAGCTAACCAAGGTGTTTATTATTACTTGAAGATTGAAGGCAGGTTGTGTTGGAACTGAGCTCTGCAGGAAGGTAGCTCTCTAGGACAGTGGTTCCCAACCCTGGTCCTGGAGGCACCCCAACACTGCACAGTTTGCATGTCTCCTATCTCTGACACACCAATTTCAGGTCTTGGAGTCTCTACTAATGAGCTGATGACCTGAATCAGGTGTGTTGATTAAGGAGACATGCAAAACGTGCAGTGTTGGGGTGCCTCCAGGCCCACTGCTCTAAGAGCACGGTTGGTTAGACCTGCTCTAGAGCAGTGGTTCTCATACCTATCCTGGAGTACCCCCAGCCCTGCACATTTTGTATGTCTCCCTCATCTATTACACCTGATTCAACTCATCAGCTCATTAGTGGAGACTGCAAGACCTGAAGTGGGTGTGTCAGATATAGGGAGATATACAAAATGTGCAGTGCTGGGGGTACTCCAGGACAGGTTTGAGAACCACCGCTCTAGAGCCATGGTTCCCAACCCTGGTCCTGGAGGCACCCCAACACTGCACGTTTTGCATGTCTCCTTTCTCTGACACACCAATTTCAAGTCTTGAAGTCTCTACTAATGAGCTGATGACCTGAATCAGGTGTGTTTGATTAAGGAGGCATGCAGAACGTGCAGTGTTGGGGTGCCTTCAGGAACAGGGTTGGGAACCACTGCTCTAGAGTACCTTGTTTTTTTTTCAAAGTTTAGCTTTAATCCTAATTAAACACACCTGAACCAGCTAATCAAAGTCTTCAGGATTACTAGAAATGTCCAGGCGGGTGTGTTGGAGCTAAACTCTGTTGAAAGGTGGTCCTTCCAGGAGCAGGATTGGACATCCCTGCATTATCCATGCTGTACTGGTCTCTCAGGGCCTGTTTACACCTGGTCACTTCATGCGTTTTTTCTGATCGGATAGTTATCCGATCGTGAAAAGACCAGGTGTAAATGCCCTCCGAAACGCATTCGAGACGGATATAAATCCGATCGCTCAAACCACTTGGGCCGCATTCTAGATGAAACTGGACAAATGTAAATGCATCTGGTTGTTGAAACCACATATGTAAATTTTACTTCTCCCAAAATGTTAAGATAATAAACGTGTGAGAGCGTGTTATAGGCTATATGACATTATATGACTGCGCTAATGCAACACGCATGACTGCGGGCAAGTAGCTGAGTATCTCTTCAGCAAGCCGACGCGCAACCTGCGACGAATGAAACAAAGTAAGACGCAGACGGTCAACACACAATCATCTTCATTAAAAGTAGTAATACAAACTTATCTTTCCAGTGCTGATGCCACGCGCTCTCCTATTGCGGTCTTTGATCTTGAAATGAGCTGATAATTCATTGAAAACCTTCGGTATCCCAGAACAAACCTTAGTCTGAGGCGAGCCCAACCCATCCTAATTATGTGAAAAGTTTGAAAGGAACACACACACAATCAACCTCTCAATACTACTTCTATTCAAATACAACAACCTCCAAAATACTACTCATACTAAGATTGAATCTATTTAAATGCTATTTTAATCTTTTAAAAATCTTTTATTCTGTTTTTATTTTTTACAAAAATATTTTTATTTATCTTAAAGTGTTATTCATTATTAGTCCAGTCCTCATGACCTGCACTGATAAAAATGGAAATATATAAAGTAAAAACTGTGCTAAGCAAATAGTGATTAACCAAGTCTTCAACCAATCGGTCAGTCAATTAGGCTACTAATGAGAAAATTCTGTCTGTCTTGATCTGTCTGGTGACTGACGTTTATATTGTTTAAATATATAATATATAAACTATTGGTTTTCTGACGAGCAGTAATACATGATGTGCAGTTGCTGTTCATTTACTGAGCCTATGTCGAAATCTACTACTGGAGATATGAACTGATATGAAATGGTCATAGAAAACCTGTGTCCTACTGTATTGCACCATGACTATATCGTCCTCTAGTGTCAGTCTGAAGTGCTGCTCAGGAAGCTGCCACCTGGTGTTTGGGCAGTATTAAACATCAGCCAAACCAGAATGCCTTCTCTGTAAATGAAGATTAAAAATGCTTGTTTATATGCCACACAAATTCTTGTCATGTGACCTGATAGTCAACAATATTTACAATTAAGTTAAAATGTTATGTTCAGTGAATGTAATTCTGGGTCTAATAACCATGCCTGGATGTATTACTCCATCACTGCTTTTTATGTTTATACTGGTCAGTCTTAATAGTTAAAAATTAATCTTAATTAAATATTAGGTAGAACCTTTAGCACCAGTTTACATGATTCACAACCATAGTAAAAGCACAAATGAGTAATGTCATCATTTAATGATTACTTTACCCTGGGACTTTCTTTTCTTACCCGTGTCCTTCTTGAAGTCTTTTGACTTTTAAACTTTTTAGTATGAAAATAGATATGATTTTATGGTTGTGTAATAATCTTGCTGACATGAAGATATTGCTCACATGTGCATGTATCTGTCCTGTCCTACATCGGTTTCAGCTGCTCAACTGTCATTTCATGTTTCTGTTTTTAAATACCTCACCATTTCTCCTACTGTACTGAAACCTTTTTTAAGTAGCAGTTTAGATTTTTACTACTGGAATGTTTTTTTTTTTTTGCATCAATAAACCTGAACAGACATTTGGAATTGTTATATTTCTACCTGATACTTTCAAAGAACAGGTTCTAAACTTTTAGCTAGTTGTATGAAAATACAGTTTCTTAAATTAGTTGCATTTTTCTAGATGATTTTTACAGCAATTTAGCGGTGTTGAACTTATGACCAACTGTATTCTTTTCCCCTAAGTTAACATTTTTCTATGCAATTGATATTATTGTGAATATAGTCCTCACCCTAAGAATATCATTACATTAGAGAAATATTAAAGAGTAAATCTGTATAGACGTCAGGCACAAACACAAGAGTTTACACAATAAAGGCTCAGCCGTATCCATTTAGTCATTTTGGTGCCATTTACTGTGAGCAGACGTTACGTTTGCATGATTTAAAATCTGAAAAAAATAAAGGTTATGAGAGCCAGAGAATGTGCCAGTCTTACAGGATGGGTGTACTTTTCCAGAGGATCTTTGATGGAACAGTCAAGACAAACAAGGTTAACGTGAAAGCACTTCAGTGTGGCAGAAACATGCAATTGCAACACTGATGGAGCCCTCAGTGCTATGGACAGAGAGGCAGATTTACTATGTGGGTTGTGGATATGTTGCAGACTGGATACCTTAAATGCATCACAAGTACTTGTAACAAACAATCTGAACCTCTATACGTGAAAACAATTCAACTGGTGTATTAATATAAAAATCAAGAATTATTTTGGGTGTCTTTGCCACCAAAGAGTGTTATCCATGGATTTATTTATTCTGTCTTTTTGGGTTATTAAACCATTTTAGTTTAGCAGACTGTGAGTCACTGTTAGACAAAGATTCGGTGAGAGCAGTTAAGACAGATGGCCATTCCAAACCCAGACACAAAGCCCATTCCCCTCCTCTCCTCTCCTGACCTCATGCATTCCCTGTTAAAGCCTGAACAGTTGAGGTTGTCAGTAGGTGGAGGAGGAGGAAGGTGGGATTGTCATATGATTGGGGTTTGAAGATACAACGAGTGAGACATTATTTATCCACCATTTTAAAACACAAAACCGTTTGCACAAGCAATGCAGCTGTCACAGTTCACAAAAAAGACAAAAATCAAAACAATACAAACTCTTTGAATGACTTGCGAGCGGGTAAATGAGAGAAATGCAACAATTGCCGATAATTTAGATCCACGATTCCCTCCAAGTTCTCATTTGAACCTCATCCACGTCTGAGACCCATCCAAGTCCATTAATGACAGAAAGTTGAATGGAATCACATCCTCTTTTAAACAGTTTTTTTTTTTACTTTTCTTTTCATTTTTGGAAGGCTTCTTCATGCTGAGCGAACCGCATGTGGTGTTCTGAGTGCCGGCTCCGCACTTGAACAGAAGAAGAGGAACCGGGTCGGTTTCTAAGCGTTTTGCATCTCTTTGCCAATCTTGTAGCTAAGGATCTTGTTCCAGTCGATCTTGGTGCGAGTGACGGGCAGTTGTCTGCGGAGAGCTTTGAAGGTGGTGTCTGACATTGTCTGGTAGTTCTCACTGATGGCCGTCTGTAGGGAAACAATTAAGCAACACAAATGTTAAACTGGATTCTGATCATTAAGTCGCAGATCATAAAATTGCACAGGAAGTTGTGAAGTCACATAGTCCATGACGAATATTTTATTAAAAGCTGGTCTATGTGGTAATTACAGTACATCGGACATCTAAACGTTAGTTTCGTTCATCGACCTCGAATGTGGCCGCGCGTTCTAACGTTAACCTAGAAAAATGTGTGCTATTCAAGTGTTTGTGCGCAGTGTGGAAGCTGAATAGTAGCACGCTCACTGCACGACAGGTAACTTGGAGGCACCGGTGCGATCATTTGCATTTAACTTAAAATACTCTGTCATTTTTGCTCATTCAGAGTAATAAATCTTTCGAAATTGTAAAAATGTTTACTTTTATTTGTGTGCACTCACAATAACAACAAAATGTTGTGCTTTTGTAAAATAATGAAAGCAAACGGGGTGCGCTTTCTGCCTTCTAGGTCACTGTGAACTTGAGCATGTCAGAAAAATTTACAAACCCTGTGCTTGCCTCACAGGCATGAAAAATATTTCTATAGAAAGTGAAATGTCTACTTTTAAATTAACCAATTTAAATGGAAAACAAATATTTTCAGATTATGTAATCCATATAAAACATGCACGTCCTCTGTGTCGACTTCATCACTGCAGCCGAAAATACAGAAAACACTAGTTTATCAATGAATTATTATAATGTTAAGGCAGTCTTCTTGCTGTTTTTTTCCGACGCATTCATAATCATTACTTCTGCCAGTGTGCTGAGGCGAGTTTTATGCATGCGCTTGAGCGCTGATAGGTTATAGGCCAGGGTTCTTCAATAGGCGGGCCCGTGGGCCACATCCGGCCCGTGAGAGAAAAAAGTTTGGCCTGTGCGAATTTCACATAATGTGGCATGAAAATTCAAACGCAGCATCAGAAAGCTACATTAACTTACATCGTGTCAACACCGGACGTGAGCGGCACGGCACAATAAAATACAATAGAACTCGTTATAATCAGTGATGCTGTCTTGGATGCGGCGCGACACGACAAATCCCCAACAAACTGCTGACTCGTTCTATTTAATTTCTCATTTTGTCTCTCATAGTTGAGGTATACCTATGATGAAAATTACAGGCCTCTCTCATCTTTTAAGTGGGAGAACTTGCACAATTGGTGGCTGACTAAATACTTTTTTGCCCCACTGTATATATAAGTAAGACAGTGGCCCTTGGCTTGGTATTGTTGGCAGAATTCGGCCCTCGGCAAAAACTAATTGAGGAACACTGCTATAGGCCATTAAAGGCTCATTATTATGAATTACTTGGTTTATTAATATAAACGTGCAATTAGTTGAATAATTGCTAAAAATGAACAACTACTAGTTGACTAGAAAAATCTTTAGTCGAGGACAGCCCAAATAAAATATTTAATATCCATCTTAATCAAAATGTTTTATGTTGAACAGATCGAATTCTTACCTGGTAATCATTTTCAGCATTTTCAATGATTTTCACAAATTCCTTGGCAGTCAGGGTTTCATTCTAGAGAGAAAAGGGCAGAAATTTACTTTGCAAGAAGATCTTCTTTGCAATCTTAAACTTTAGCTTGTTTGGTTAATGCTTATGTAAATATCTCTCTTTTTTAAACTCACTGTCACTTCAATGGACTCCTCCACCTCTTTATGGCTCACCAGTTGTACATTACCATCCTCATAGTAATGCACCTGTAGGAAACCAAATTATTTAACACAAACTCTTCACCATCACACTTTCTTTTCTTATCCCCACTATGCTAGCTTGTCAGGTCTCACCTGGATCTTCAATACTCCCACAACCTGAGCTGATGACTGACTAATGGTGAACTTCCACTCTGACCTGCATCGGCCATTCCTGACGAGAGAATCATCAGTGAGTCAGAGTGCAATCAGATATAGTCTTACTACAGAATCATACTCCAGGCATGGTTGAATTGGACAATTCTAATGTAGACTGTAGTAGACAGACTTCAGATGAAAAGAATTATAGAACTCATGGCAAAAATGTAGATTTAATTTGATAAGAGATAATGTACAGTCAGCTGATTATAATTGCAAAACAAAATGTCGCAAGAGTGAATCAGTTTTTTTATCACCTTTAAGAGGTCCAAAAATGACAGATGGCTGTACATAACGCCTGTTATTTAACACTTTATCATTTAAAGATTTGTGGTCAGTAAGTTATGTATATTTTTAAAAGAAATTAATACTTTTTATCAGCAGTAAAGTCTTTAGTAGTAAAGACTACAAAATAATTTATATTACAAACAAATGCTGTGCTTCTGAACTTTCTATTCAAAGAATCCTGAAAAAAATATGAAATTTTCATAAAAATAAGTAGCAAAATGGTTTTCGACATTGCTAATAAGAAGAACTGTTTCTTAAGCATCAATTCAGCATTTTGGAATGCTTTTTAAAGGATCATGTGATACTGAAGACTGCAGTAATGACTACTGAAAATTCAGATTTGCCATCACAGGTATAAATTACATTTTAAAGTATGTTCAGTTAAACAGTTAATAATAATTGTAAATAATTATTATTTACCCCTATTACAACTATTAACTGTTTTCCATAATTCATTGAAATAATATTTTACAATATTACTGTTTTTACTGTATTTTGATCAACTAAATGCAGCCCTGGTGAGCATAAGAGACTTTTCAAAACATTAACATTTTTAAATAAAAAATTTTTTTTATGAATATTTACATCTAACCAATTCCAAATGTTTGAACAGTAGTGTAAAAACATAAATGGACCAGAAATGCTGATTTAAAATATCATGAAACTAATATAACTAAAGTTATGTAGAAAATCAGTTGCCTGGGACAAAAGTCAATCATATAGTTCAGCAACATTACACAACATTATACAAGTATTCCAGAGAGCAGGTATAAGGACATAAAGCATTGAACATTACTCACCAAAAGTTTTTGGGCTGAAACTGATGACCCTCAATACAAGCAATAATTGTTTGCTGTCCGTCAACAGTCTTCCCATACACCTGCAGCAAACATCAGTGCATATGATTTCACAAACAATGACTGCAAGCATAAATGTAAATGCAGCAAGTGCTAACAGTAACAGAAATGTGTGAGATTCATATCATTCTGTTGAGATTCCCATAGGAAAAATGCGCACCGTGCAGACTCCAGTGGGATAGTGCTCTTTCACATAAGCACTGAGTGCTTCATCACAGGCGTCCCTCCAGGATCGGAGGGCAGTTTCTCCCTCGTAAGGCTGAGGGTCGCTCGCTTCCTTTCGCAGGTGATCAAAACGAAATGACACCCGCTTCCGTGGGTCAAAGTACCGTCCCTGACCCAGATCTCCATGCTCAGTGATCAGAACCTGCAGGAACAGGATGTCCCTTGCTCTTTAGGCAAAATTAATCACACACAGATCTGCAGCTCTAATATGGAAGCAGCAAACACTCACAGTACAATGCTCACACTTGCCCTAATCACTCACAAAGTACACAAAGATCTTCAGAGAGCAGAGTTTACACCCAGCTTAAATAAATAATGTGACAATAGTGTGCTCTCTGTTCAAAACTAACACAGAGTATCATGGCAGCACAGGAACGAAATGTACACACACATTTCAAAAAACCGACTGAAATTACTGCACCTGTGAGTCTTTAAATCATGCACTTACCGACTCCTCACTACCGTCCAGTTTGACAGGAGTGAACTGATCCATGTTATACTGAGCAAAGGCACTGTGAAACAAAAAAAATGAGATAATGCAACATGAATATTTCTTATCAAAACGTTCTTATAAAAACTTTCAACTACATACAGATGCATCTGGACACAACATGATGCACAGATCTGTAAATAACATACTGTGCTGCCCCTTCCCGAAGAAGATTGTCATTGTTGAGGAGAAGTCGCACATCTACAAAAAAAACACAGTAATTAAAAATAAATCACAAACCTAAGCACAAGTCTGGTACAATATAAAATAAACTGGTTTGAAATCAGGCGTTTGTTTCAATGAGCGAGAGAGCAGTAATGAGGAACCACCAATTAAACTGCAAGAGAGCAATGCACTGTGAAGCAGGAGCAAAAATAAATAAATAAACATCAAACGGCTCCATATGCCTCCCCAAGCACATTTGTGTATTTTTTCTTTATGTACAAATCAGTAAAAATATCACAAGCATTTCCTCTATGTTGTTTGATGCTGGTGTCAAGAATCAAATCTCTTATTGTTACTAGCACAAGTCTGTATGAGATATTCTGGGACTGCAGATTCAGTTGGGTAGGAGAATGTTGCAATCGACAGAAAACAAGAAACTGTACACTACCGTTCAAAAGTTTGGGGCAAATACAATTTTATAAAATCCCCTTATGCTCACCAAGGCTGAATTTATTTGATCAAAAATACAGTAAAAACTATAATATTGTGAAATATTATTACAATTGTAAGTAGCTGTTATATATATTATATTAAGTGGTGAATAAAGCTCATTCTGATTATGATTCTAATAAGACAGCACCCTTACAACAACTTCTGAAAGTGAACGGTAGTGTTTTACTCGAGCATTACATAAAAATGTCATTTTAACATTAGTGTAATCATTTTAACATGAGTTTAGGAACTGAATAATAAAAAGGAAAAATAAAACACTGCGTAGTATTTACTCTTTGAATTCAATATGCACCGATTCTTATTTAAGCTACAAAAGTTATTTAGGTAAGAGCAGTGAGTGATTTTCTCTTTGTCTTTTGTTCATGGCCCCAAATATTGCAAGCTGTAGCGATATGCATATTGCGATATGTACATTTGCGATATTTCGATATATATTGCACAGCCCTAATACATACATGATGCTGTTTTGTTTATACAACTTAATTATAATTGGTTTATAAACATTATTTTAAACATTATGCACCTTTTTTTTACAGATTGTCGTGTTACCTGATGCTTTGAATAAATGTGCATTAGAAATATTTTGCTCGATGTGCAGTCTTGTGGCCTCAGGAGAGAAGCCAAAAGTTTTTCTTCACCCTAACTGAAATTATGCATTTTAAATTCGAATATTGATCATATTTAAGTAAAAAATTCGAATTTAGTTTTTCAGTCATTTTGACAGCCCTAATATGTATTCATGTACTACCACTTTAGACCAATACTGTAAAACTGAAAGAGGTCCCAGAACAGAACAGCTGAAAATGACACTCACCATTGAACACTTCATTGAATTCTCCAGGGGGAGCGTGGGTCACAAAGTTAGCTGCGATGCGGACCTGCAGACATACCACATAATAAATTATAAGTGGACACATACTTGCCTAACTAAAACACTGCGGCTTCAGCACTACTGAATCACAGCCTGTTTCCAGCGGGTGACTCTAGAGATCAAATTACCCCATATTCACACCCTGTAAAACTTAAAGAACACACACCGCTGAGTCCTTAACAATACACATATCCCAAATACAAACAACTGCTAAATGTCTAAAAACATCTAACTCAAACTGAACAGCTTATTCCTGCCCTCAAATATCCTCTCAACCTTAACGTCCTAATGTATCAGACCAGGACAATTCCACATCAGACCTGTTGTGTGCTATTAAAGCATCCAAGAAAAATATTTTGAAGTATTTAACTTAAACCTATTTAACATTACTTTAACTAATTAACTTAACTTTGTAGGGCTTCACATGTTGGCAAACAATATTTGCGATGATTATATATCAAGATTACTCTATAACAGCATAAGCGATTGGAGGGATTATATCTCTCTGGCCTGGGAGCGACTTGGGATCCCCCAGAATGAGCTGGAGGAAGTGGCCAGCGAAAAGGACGTACGGGTGTCCTTACACAGCCTGCTGCCACTGCGACACAGTCCCAGATAAGTGGTGGAAAATAGATGGAATGGGTGGATATAATAATAATAATAATAATAATTTTAATTCAAGTCAGATAAATTATAACTACTGTAATATTTCATTGTAAAATAAAAATAGAGTATACATATAACACATTGAATCCCATTAAATGTTATACAGCTAATGTCTTTCAAACCCACCAAAAGGAGCTGTTGAATACATATTTTTGACCAACAATACACTTTTAATAAAAAAAAGTTCAAGTTCAGTTTATTTATAAAGCACATTTAAAAAGGGCCACAGGTCGACCAAAGTGCTGTACAAGTTAGAATAAAATAATACAAAAATATAAGTACACTAAATAGCAGCAAAACAGTTAAAATAGAACACTCTTATGAAGTAGCATATCTCCAAGGAGCGCTTAGGAAGAAAGGATTTGATTTTCGATAGAGAATGAAGAAAGAAAAAGCTGGACCCAATGACCGCGCTAATCTGCTTGTCAAATTTGAAGAGAAATTCGAAGGGAAAGAGATTAACATAATGGGAAGCATCTAGCAATCTGTCTAATTAGCATCTCATGTGGCCTAGCTGGGGAAGTCAGCTGAGCTCTGACAGTATGCAGAAAATGACCACATGTAATTAAAGGGGAAGAAAATATGTGGCAGTTAAATGCAGCTTTTAGAGAAGGGACAGATGCTGACAGAGACTGAACTAAAGAGCACAAATCAATCTGAATCTACCCGTCTGCTCCATATAAAATCAAAACTACTGTCAAAGAGACTTTGCTAAAATGCTTTTTAAAGATCATTATTTGGTGTATTTGGTGTAACAGAATATGTTGACATGCTTTAATGTTCAAAAAACACATTATTTTTCAAATACTGTACATTATTGTAAGTCCTCTATACCCCGCCTCTCTCAAACGCTTCGTTTTCTACAAAGTCCCTCCTTCCGACAAGCGCAGTCTGCTCTGATTGGCCAGCTGACCCAGTGCATTGTGATTGGCCGAACACCGCAAGCACTCGTGGGAAATGTAACGCCCCTTACCATAATCGCGAGCTTCATCTTTCAAAATAAATGTAAAGACAGAGCCCGAAAGGGGAACAGAGTCGCGTGTCAGACACAGTGATGAAGCTGGTATGTGTTTGCAGTACACAAGCCACGGTTAAGACAGCTGACTCCACTGTGATGTGATGTGATGCTCTCGCTCGCTCTCTCTCTCACACGCGCACACATGCATGCATGCACACGCACGCACACACACACACACACACACGATGCGCAAAACTCCGCATTTGAACAGTCAATAGCAAATACTTAAACTAATAACAAAACAGTAGCTGATTCAGAAGCGCCAGATTGTCATAGCAAAGTCAGAATTACCTCCTCTCCTAGGTTCACGAAACGGTCGTCCATAAAATGCATTGCTGTTCTGTTGTAAGTAATCTTAAAGATTCCTAAATGCATCTACTTCCGGAAGGCCAAATAAAGTGCTTTTGCTTTCGCCTAGAAACACACAGCGTCTCCCTGACATGGCTGCTTCAACACTAACTGTGGTTACTGAAACCACGCCTTCTTTCTTTGCGTGAACATTTGGGCACATTATGCAAATATTCCCACATAGTGAGGTAGATATGTGGGGGCGTGTTGGAAGGAGCGGTTTTAGGGGGGCGTGGCAGAGTCTTAACTTTGATAAAGAATTTCTCTTTGGTTTTGAGACTTTAGTCTTTCCAACTTCAGGGATCTTATCTATGCACAATCAGCTTGTTACACTCCAAAGAGAAAGGAAAACTTGAAATCGCATCATATGACCCCTTTAATAACAGTCTTGCCATTCAGTTTTAACAGATGAAAAGATGCAATTAAACGCCAACGGTAAACGACACTATCCATCACTAAAATTCTTCCCACGATCTCACTTGTGTTTCAATTGCAGAAACAACAGTGTAGCTGTAGTGTGTACATGACGACAGAATTCTCACTTCTGGCTAAACTCTCTCTTTAAACCAGCGTAGACTGCAGACTGCAGACTGCAGGCTTCCACCTCAAAACACACCCGCCCCTGCGGGCGTAACTTCATCCGGCCGAGGCTTTCGGCTCAGATGGCTGTCGTGTCAGGCGGATCTGGCATCTGCTGTCTCACGCATGTGTAACTCTACCGGAGCACAGCCCGTTAAAGCCCGTAGGCTCGGTTCGGAGTGGGTGGATCTGCTGAGATCTATTTCTGAACTCCCTCTGACAGCTAACTGCTAACAGCTGACGCTCTCAACACTTCACTCAAAACAACACGGCCATTTCAGCTTTAACGGACAGCTTGACTTGCTAAAACACTGCTTGTTGTTCGGTGTATCGTTGTTGTTAAGCCAGGTCCCTGTGTTTTACGGGAGTGCAAAGCTGCGATTTCACTTCCTCGCAGATTAGCACACGGCTAACCGGATAGACAACCTCGCGCTGCTTCCGGGAAGCAGTTATTCATCCTTCTGCACGCGGAGAGTTTTAATATAAAGACGTACCATAGTGTGTTTTTGGGCGGTTTGTGAAAGTTAACTTAATGTTTTATTTTTACCTTATCCTCGTCTGAAAGCGGCTCCTCAAAGTCGGTCATCTTGGCTGTGGCGGAGCCTCACGCCGCGGCGCATGCTGGGTAGCGCGCGCTGTCACGCTCGTGACCATAATAGGGCAAAACGGAGTGCGAGCCACCGCCTCGCGCAGCTCCTGCTCTCCTCTCCCGCCTAGCCTACTCCGGTCTGACAATCAGCTCGCGCTCGCGGAGAGGCTATACGGGGAGCAGACTTCGAGCTGCACTTTTTAATGGGGATTTTGATTCACATCGGTGACTCGAATCTTTTGGATCAGTTTCCTTTCTGCCAGTTACATTCTTACGCCAGTAGGTGGCGACAGGTGAACGTGTTTTTGTCACTGAATAATTCACTCAACAGATTCTTTAACCAACACCAAGTTGAACACATCAAACACATCTTCTTATCCTTTTTTCTTATGAAAATTTAATAAAACATTATCAATAAAAATCTGCACGTCATGCTACATAAATGGACTACATAAAATATAAATGACCTGAGCTCTATAATATCCCAGGTTCTAATTTCTATCCAAGGTTAATTTCAAATAAAGTTATTGATTTGCGTACAACTTGGCTTGGCCGAAGCGTCAATGCACACACACACACCAAAAGAAAAGAAAAAAGAAATGGTCCCCATAACATGGGTGATACCAGGACCACACTCAAACACATGCTTACATCTGAATGGAAACACTCCATAGATTTATATTGCTTTTATATACAGATTGTTTTTTTGTTTTGTTTATATATATATATATATATACACATACATAGGCTACATAAATACTATAACCTAACCCTAATAACCCACACCCTAAACCTTACAGAATGCTTTCTGCATTTAAAGATGAATTTTATTAGGCACATTTATTTTATTTTTTTTTAAGTTTTTTTTATACCAAATGAGGATGTACCCAAATGGAGGTTTTGTCAGGTTCAGTTTATTTCTGGCTACAAATTTGTAAATGGTTCAATAGGTACACATTAAAATAAGGCTCCTGTACTGTTAATACAAATAGTTATTACAGTAAAACAAAATAAATGTTCAACAAGATGTTCAAATTGACAAATCCTTTCTGTGATTCTTCTGCTGTCCTACAGAGAGCAGCATTTCTCCAACATTTGAACTGCTGTTGGACGTACAAAACAAAAAGACCAGCAGAGGGCGCGATTACCCTGCCATTATCCGTAAGAAGCACATTCACATCTAAAACCAGAGATGATCACTGCAGGCCAACATCTTGCATATCTGGGGCCTGTTTTATTCTCAAGAGCTTCAAAATGTACTTACTCAAGTGGAGATAAATAGAAAATGAGGCCTTTTCTATTAACTTTAGGCCCCTATTTCCCTCTTTCTCTCTCTGCTCCTCTTCTTCCATCTTTTCCGTCATGTCCCATCTTTTCTGTCAGAGCCTGGATCTTTTAGGTTTCTTGCTTATAGCACCATTCCTATTAAATATACAATATTTCAACCTACAGATTAAATATGATTCTTAACAGAGCAGATTTAAACAAAGTAAAGGCAAACATTACGTCCAGACTTGCAAATTCTTTCCACAACCTTTCAAACAGCTTTCAAGCATGGACGTATGATATCTCAACACAGAAAAAGAGCAAAAGGACACAGAGAGGAATCTTTTTTTTTTTTTTTTCTAGCCTATAGTGCGTTATAGTTGAACACCACAAAACGTTAACTGAAACAATTGTGTGTGTGTGTGTGTATGTGTGTGTGTGTGTGTATGTGAACTCTTGAAAGCCTTATCATCACAACACAGCAAAATAGGGGTAGTGAGGGACAAGAGAAGCGAGAGAGAAAGTCATCCATCACTAATGTGTCATCTCTTTGATCATAAACAACATTAGTGTCTATTGGTTTATATTTCTTGCATTTGTCTTTGGTATTTACCTCCCTCGCACTGAACTTTGCAAAAAATCTTTTGTGTGTGTGTGTGTGTGTGTGCGGTGAGGAAGTGAGGTGTGTTCCCACGACCTGTGCGTGTGGTAACCTTACCTCCCTTTGATCCTGCTTTGCCCTGATAGATTCTGCTTCACACACTCACACACATACTTGGGAAGGCACTGATGTGATGTGACAGTTGTTAAGGCCTCTCACTTTGATGTGGAGTTATCAGCCCTTCTGCGATCCAATCAAACACGCACGGACCTCTTCCAAACCACACGCATGTGCTGTAGCTGAGAAACTTTTTGTAATTTCACAGCAGAGGAGACAGTGGATTTCGCTGCCTATTTGTCTCTCTGTTGGAGTCATTTCTGTGTCATTATCAGCAAAATTATGACTGGTTTCAAACAGGTTTCCTCCTCTATACTCCATTTGTTGACCAAACAGACAGCACCGTCCTGAAACTATGTATGTGTGCCCAACTTTTTTCTCCATACAATATTGCCAAAAGCACACACTACATAAGGAACAGCTTGGGCAGGAATGATAACAAAATATAGACACTGCAGATTATACATAAACAAATGGAAAATAACAGCAATGTCGCTGATAATATAATATAATAAATACAGTATAATACATACACATATATATATTTTTTTCCAAAAAATACCACTTATAATTAGTATATTTGTCGTTTCAGTAAAAATCCTTTACAAATGTACATTTTCCTGAGAAACAAAAATGCATAAGATATTAAGTTGTTGTGTTTTTCACTTGTTTAAGCATAAACCTCACTAAATGTTTTATTTTTGCAGGCATTTTTGCATTGCATGGTTTATTTTATAATTTTTTTTTCAGCCTGTTCAGCTGTGCTCGTGAAACAGTATTTCTTTGTCTCTCTATCCTTCTCTCTGTCTCATTCTCTCTCTGTCTGAACCTAAAGAGCTTGAGATGGTCCCAGTTGCACCAATAAGATACTGTTAAGGGTCCCATCTTTGCCAGAAGGCTTTATTTTCTATTTTATTAAACACCTCAAACCAATACTGTCAGCTCATGCATTTAAGAAACAAAACTAGAGACTATGGAGACCTTCAGTTATCCAGATGAAGGGTTCTGCGCCTTACTGAATCAAGCACAGCTCATAAAATTTTCTTTTGGAATTTCATACATTACTTTGTGTCTTCAAATGTGATGTGAATAACTGCTATTAGTCAAACTGTTGGTCTCCTGCTATTGCTGTGTCACAACCAATAAGACTGGACTGATAAATTCATCTCCACAGAGGAATTCTGGTTACGACTGAACCTTGTCTTTGTGACAGTTGTTAAGGCCTCTCACTTTGATGTGGAGTTATCAGCCCTTCTGCGATCCAATCAAACACGCACGGACCTCTTCCAAACCACACGCATGTGCTGTAGCTGAGAAACTTTTTGTAATTTCACAGCAGAGGAGACAGTGGATTTCGCTGCCTATTTGTCTCTCTGTTGGAGTCATTTCTGTGTCATTATCAGCAAAATTATGACTGGTTTCAAACAGGTTTCCTCCTCTATACTCCATTTGTTGACCAAACAGACAGCACCGTCCTGAAACTATGTATGTGTGCCCAACTTTTTTCTCCATACAATATTGCCAAAAGCACACACTACATAAGGAACAGTTTGGGCAGGAATGATAACAAAATATAGACACTGCAGATTATACATAAACAAATGGAAAATAACAGCAATGTCGCTGATAATATAATATAATAAATACAGTATAATACATACACATATATATATTTTTTTCCAAAAAATACCACTTATAATTAGTATATTTGTCGTTTCAGTAAAAATCCTTTACAAATGTACATTTTCCTGAGAAACAAAAATGCATAAGATATTAAGTTGTTGTGTTTTTCACTTGTTTAAGCATAAACCTCACTAAATGTTTTATTTTTGCAGGCATTTTTGCATTGCATGGTTTATTTTATAATTTTTTTTTCAGCCTGTTCAGCTGTGCTCGTGAAACAGTATTTCTTTGTCTCTCTATCCTTCTCTCTGTCTCATTCTCTCTCTGTCTGAACCTAAAGAGCTTGAGATGGTCCCAGTTGCACCAATAAGATACTGTTAAGGGTCCCATCTTTGCCAGAAGGCTTTATTTTCTATTTTATTAAACACCTCAAACCAATACTGTCAGCTCATGCATTTAAGAAACAAAACTAGAGACTATGGAGACCTTCAGTTATCCAGATGAAGGGTTCTGCGCCTTACTGAATCAAGCACAGCTCATAAAATTTTCTTTTGGAATTTCATACATTACTTTGTGTCTTCAAATGTGATGTGAATAACTGCTATTAGTCAAACTGTTGGTCTCCTGCTATTGCTGTGTCACAACCAATAAGACTGGACTGATAAATTCATCTCCACAGAGGAATTCTGGTTACGACTGAACCTTGTCTTTAGCACTAACACACACACACACACACACACACAGTGAGGACAGCGAAAAATCCCTCACACAGGGGCTATCATCATTCCTCTAAACCCAGACAGCAACACAGAGACAGAGGAGGGGGACAGAAGGTCAGGTTTGTTTGACGGTAAAGCATCACAACATCCTGCAGCGTTTGTTTTTGCTGCTGGTGTTTTAGGGGGAACAGCACTATCAGCACGTTCAGGTGTGTGTCGGGATGTTTATGTGTGTGTGTGTGTGTGTGTGTAGTGGTGATGGTGTTTTGAGTAAATGCCTGGGGAAACTATTGTAAATGTAGAGTCATCCATTAGTCACATCTGACATTTTATTGTTTTTTTATGACACTTTATCTGCACACAATACAAAAAACTGACAATCTCAGACAGCACAGACCCTGATGAGCCATGAAGACTTATTTAGATTAACTGAGTGGCAAGAACATGAGCTTTGTGTTTAGATCAATATGAGTAATAAAAGATGCACTTGTTTTTATCAGGAAAATATAAGACTGCATCCTATTAAAATTCATACTGCCCTACAAACACAAAATGCATATGAACACATTTAGTAAAAACGGAGTGAAATTCAGTTTCATAGATCATGATCTATTATGTGACAGACAGGTTTGGTTACATTCAGAGAAAACTGAGTGTGAAAATGGATATCAAGTCAATTCAAATGTAGTAGTAAAAATAATAATAACAACAATAATAATAAATTTAGAATATTTTTATCAGTTATTTTAATATGATTTATTTTGCATTTATTAATACCTTTAATTGGCTTTTATTTTTATATATTCAGTCAGCTGTTCCAA